TATCAAAATATTATTCCAAAATTCATTTTTGGTAAAAAAAAAAAATTGGGGCTCAAACAGGCTTCGAGTTGTAAAACCAATTTTTTCAATAGATTTTGTGTTATGCCTAGTGATAGATTAGTATCGAAAATTTCTAAGTGATGCTTGAAAGAGTAGCTGCCCCAAAGAAAGAGATAGAAGAAAAACATAAAATTAATCAAGAATGTGGGTGGGGTTCTTATTCTCCAAGTAACTTTCGTGTTTTTCCCATCAACTAGGAAATTCAATTGTTATATAATATTTTACATTTTATTTAGCAAAGATTGCATGAACTCAAAATCCCATAACATTATTCCTAAGAGAAGAGAAATATTCAAGTAAAGCATTAAATCATTCATCAATTCATATGCATATTATATATATGTAGAAGAAGTTGTCGGAAAAATTTAGGAGGAAGAAGCCGCTGCAAAAAAAGTTAGGAATAAAAGAACTAGCTCAAGGCCTCTGCTGCTAAGGGCCTGCTTGGGAATTTTTGGGTAGTGGTTGTGAATATTTTTTTTTGGGAAATTATAAAAAATCAGATGTTTAAAGATTAAAGTGCAAAAATCAGGTGAGAAGAAAATTTTAATCAAAATTCAAGTATTGATTTAAAAATTAAATATTATTCCCACTCTACCCAATCCCAAACCCTAAATCATTTTTCATCTCTCTCTTTCTCGCTCTATCTCTACCCACCTCTCCCGTCGCCTCTCTCTCTCTCGTTTCTCCCTCACAGCATTGATCTCAACGGCGACTACGACGTCGCTCGCCTCTTCGCTGTGAGCGACGACTCAACGGCGTGAGCATCGGGCTCAACGGTTGCTGCGAAATCATCACAGCGTCGCTCGCCTCTTCACTGTGAGTATCAGTGTTTGCTCTCTCAATGGTGACTCGGGACGTCGTAGGGTGGCGCTGGGTGAAGCCGATTTGTGTGATTTCTGTATGTGGAAGCCGATTTGTGTGATTTCTGTATGTGGAAGCTGATTGTGTGTGAAAGTTCTGTGGTAGTGCTGGTCTTGCTGCAGTTGGGGACTCTTTTCAGATCGATCATGGTGTTTGGTGGGTAGATGATGGTGGTGGCGGCGGTCGAC